GCGACGGCGACGGCATGATCAACGAGGACGAGTTCTTCCGCGTCATGAAGAAGCGCGGCGACAACCCCCTCGACGACCTCTCCTCCGACGACGACGACTTCTAGCGCGCGCGCCGGGCCGCGGCGCGCGCGCGCGCCGAGCGCCGGCGGGCGGTCCGCCGTCCGCGCGCCGTAACGACGCGCCACCCTCGCCCCGGCCCCGGGCCCCTCGGGCGGCCTTCTAGGGCGGCCGAGGACGGAAAAAAACCGCGCGCGCGCGCGGCGCTACTCGAAGGGCGCGACGTCGCCGCCGACCGTGTAGGCCTCGCGCTCGACGTTGTCGAGCTCCTCGTACCGCTTGCCGCCGCGCGTGCGGAAGAGGGCGACGAGCTCGTGGCCCTCCGTCAGCCGGCTCGCGATGTCGAGCGCCGTGAGCCGGTCCCCCCGCTCGTCGTCGACGACGAGGTTGAGCGTCGCGCCGCCGTCGAGGAGCGCGCGCGCGCCGGCCTCGTGGAGGCCGTAGGCGAACCAGGTCAGCGGCGTCATCTTCAGGCCCCGCGGCGCGGTCACGCGCGCGTCCGGGTCCGCGCCCGCGGCCAGTAGCAGCCGCGCGACGTCCGCGGAGCCGCTGATGCCGCAGGTGTGGAGCGCCGTCTCGCCGTCCTCCGTCGCGGCCCGGGCGTCGGCGCCGGCCTCGAGCACGCGCCGCGCCATGGCCGCGTCGCCCTCGGCGGCGGCGGCGATGAGCGCGTAATCCACCTCGCGCAGGCCGCCCCGGTCGTCGCCGCCCTCGCCCGCGAACGCGGACGCGTCCTCGCTCGACGAACCGTAAACGCACAGCGCGGCGACGACCAAGCGGGCGAACGCGCCCATCATCGCGTGTTCTGCTCGCTGAATTCAAGCACCCTGCAACCTTGCAGGCTTGTGGCAAGAGCGTCGAGGATGGCCACTCTCGTCGTCGAGGTCGCCGACGCCGCCGCCAGCGGCACCAAAGCCAGCACTGCCGACGCCGCCGGCGACGCCAACACCGACGCCGACGCCGCCGGCGACGCCGACGCCGACGCCGGCGCCGCCGGCGACGCCGACGCCGCCGGCGACGCCGACGCCGACGCGACGCGCCTCGCGGCCTACGCCGAGCGCCTCGCGGCGCTCGTCGGGTCGCCGGCGCCCCTCAACCCCTACTTCGACGAGCGCGCGGGCTGCGTCCCCGGGCCGGACCGCGTGGCGACGGCGGCGCTCCTGGCCGAGGTGCGCGCCGCGGCGCCGGCGCGCGGTCGCGCGCTCGCGGCGGCGCTCGAGGCCGACGGCCCGGGCTACGCGACGCTCCTCGTCGTCGAGGTCTCGCTGTCCGAGCCGCCGCGCGGCGACGCGGCGCGGCTCGCGCGCGCCGTCGCCGCGGCGCTGACGGCGGCGGTCGCCGCGCTCGTGCCGCGCGTCGCCGGCGTCGGCCCGCCGCGCGACGCGG